GAATTTATTAAGGACCTAAATTTTAATGACAGGAATATTCATCTGACATATAACTATAGTAAAGTTGAAATTGCCTTTCTTGACCTTATGATAACTAACGAATATGATCATTTAATTACCCAAACTTTTAGAAAAGAAACAGTAGCAAATACTTAGCTACATGCTACAAGTCATCATCCAATAACTTTAAAACAAGGCATCCCAATTGGACAATTTCTCTGAATTAGGAGAAACTGCTCTAATATAACACAATTTCAAAATGAAGCTACATCTAGGTATAAACATTTTAGAGATAGAGGATATCCTCATAGAACACTTAGAAAAGCAAAAGGGAGAGCAATAAAAGCCCATAGAGAAACACTACTTGACACTAGGATACAAGATCAAACTTCAAAATTCAAGGGACCTATTTGGTTCATTACTAAATTTGGACAACAATGGCAAGATGTCAAAAATACAATGCTAAAGCATTGGCATGTTTTGACAGCTAATTCCATTATAGCTAATATGGTGGGAGAAAAGCCTTCAATGGTGGCACGCAGGGCAGCCAATTTAAATGACCTACTAGTAAGATCAGAATATAGAAAACCAATATCAACTAACTGGCTAACTGAACAACCTACATTATCTGGCATGTTTCCATGTGGACAAAATTAGGAACTTTTCAAATTCGGGGAGAACTAAATCTTACAATATCCGTAATTTCATTAACAGTTCTAGTTCTAAGGTGATATATATGATTGAATGTCCATGTAAAAAACTATATTACGGAAAACAAAAAACAAAACGTCAATTAAGAATTCGCATAGGTGAACATCTTAGAGATATTAAATATAAACATAAGCCTAAAGAGAATAGTAGAGAAAATCCATTAGCTCAACATTTCAAAGAAGTCCATAATGGATGAATTGATGGCTTTCAGGTAAAAGGTATTTTTTCCTTCAACATCCCTCAAGACGAGGTGATTTTGACAAAATACATAGGTCTGTGACTAAAAAGCTGTTTGATTATTTTCATCTAATTTCCATATATTTTGGTGTGCTGAAAACAAATATAATATTGAAAAAACTCCTAGACGTCATGATTTAAGTTCATCTACAAAAAACCACCAACATTAAGAACTAGATTGCTAAAGAATGTTCCTGATGCACCTAAGAAAGTAGTTACTTTCCTTGGTAGGGTGGGTTTCTTCAAATGTGGGAGGTGTCTAGCATGTAGATATATGAAAGGAGATGAGAAGAGGAATTATGACAGCTTTACTTCCTGTTCTAATTTGTCTTCCTACAAAATTAAGACATTTATATCATGAGATAGTTCATATATTACCTATCTGTTGGAATGTTCTTGTCACTTCCAATACATAGGAAGGACCACCAGAAAGTTTTATGTACCTTTAGAACATATTAGGAATATTAAGAAGGGCTACAAGTACCATAGCCTCTCTTATCATTTTAGATTACACCATAATAGGGATCCGGCATGTCTAAGATTTTGTGGGATAGACAGAATTAATACTATATGGGGGGGGGGGGTGATATGGTCAATAGCATATCACAAAATGAAACCAGGTGGATTTATCAAATGGGGACACTGCACCCTAAAGGGTTGAATGCAGATATTGATATTAAATGTTTTTTGTCCAATTGGTAGCCAGTTGGAGTGGGAACTTCAAATCACCTTTGAATTATTTAAAATTATTTTAAATATTAGAATTATTATTTATTTTTATTTTCATTATTATTATTATTTTTTTATTTTTAATTTTATTTTATTTTCATTTCTATTTATTCTCTTTATTTTAATTTTATTTTATTTGCATTTTTATATTTTTTATATTTTTTTTAATTATTTTTTTTGTAATATTTTAGTTTTTATTTGTAATATGAGTTATATTTATTTTTCATTAAAGTTCATAATAGGGATAGGAGTTTGATATTGGTTTTACGTCGGTCTATGAACAGGAATGACTTGGGAATCATATTAACAGTGGAAAGACTGTTTAAGATGATGTTGTATAAAGTGTTTAAATATGACACGTAAAGGAATCCCAGGGCGTGAGATAAAGGATGACAAGGGGGAGGTCTCACTTGTTGAGACATTGAACCTATTGTAAAACGAGGGGAGGGTTTTTGAATTGGTATTTAAGGAGTCTGAAACTGGAGGTGTGTGTCTTGAGAACGCCCAGTGGGAGGGGTGAAACGTGTTGACGCACTTCCGGTCCGCTTTACTAACGTCATACATCACTTCCGGTGAGTGGAACGAATGCCGAAAGGTGCGTTCCAGTGGCCATTTTGGGAGCTGTCTGTCTGTCAATTTTTTGTCATCCTCTGCACAGATAGCTGTGGGATTTCTGCAGTATATCGTGGATGGTGTGTTCTGATGATGTTTGGCCATTGTAGGCTACATAATAAAGAGCCTTTTATATTGCTGCATACCATGAATGACTTGGCATCATTATTATATATTTAAGAAGAAGTTAGAAGCAATATTACACTATATGCTATACTTTCTTCTTTGGCACAACGGTGGAGGGTTTTGTTTGGAGAAAGGAAGTTGAAGAATCTTTTTAGTCTGGTGTGGTGGAATGGAGGTCTGGAGGTGTTAAGAGGGGATGTAGGATCCCTAAAAGTCCTAAAAGGCTTACTATTCGCCAATATCTGGTGAGTGCGATTAATGCTGGTTTCTCACTGGTGGATGGTGGAAGCACTTATGACAGAAGGATAATCACATTATAAATGTATTCGTTTTTGGTGAAGCACTTTGAAGTTGAAGAAAAAGGCTAAAGTTTCATAATGTTATATATATATTTTGATGATTTTTGATGGACACATTAATTTTGGACACTTTAAAACACATTATGAGTTTTTCATTTTATTTGGATATTATGTGAAATGTATTTTTTTTTTTTGTTTGTTGGACACATTTATTTTGGACACTTTTTTAAATTTTTAAATTTTTATACTAGTATTTTTTCTTTTTATGTATTATTTGTTGGGTATTGCGCTGTTTATTTGATTAATTAAAAGGTATTTTTTCCCTCAACATCCCTCAAGATGAGGTGATTTTGACAAAATACATAGGTCTGCGACTAAAAAGCTGTTTGATTATTTTTCATCTAATTTCCATATATTTTTTGGTGTGCTGAAAACAAAAATATTGAAAAAACTCCTAGACGTCATGATTTGCCACAAAATGCAAAATTGTCTTCAAATTTATCAAATGTTTTTAATTTTTGGTATTTTATATTATAGGTTTTTAACCAAATTTAAAGTCCACATTACTATTAATTAATTCACATAAGTGCATTTAAGATATAAAATGCCAAAAAAACCTTTAAGGGGTTGTCCAAGTTGTATAAAAAAAAAATATAGCACTGTAAATCTGATCAGCAATATATACATAAGCTAAGCAAGTTTTAGGGAAAAAAAATCTATTTCCTCATTTCCCTAGTTCTCTTCTGCCCCTTTGTTTTTATTTGCAAGTAAACAATCTCTGCCCCTCCCCCCCTGCAAAGGGGGTGAATACAAGTGCTGCTCTGAGTGACATATCTGACTACTGGGATACTCACAGCATGATGCATGCTGTAAGCCTCAGCCCTGAGTCTGTGCTTCTAATGGTAGAAGGGGTTAATCTTTCCTGAAGAATCCAGTGGGTGAGATACCAAATACCCTTGTTTTCTGTGTCTATGGGACAGTCGAGACCGACAAAATCACTGGACCAAGAAGAGTTGGCAGCCGAGGGTGCTGCTAACAGTCGGTGAAAAAAATGTCCTCCGAGAAACTTTGGTACCTTCCCATAAAGTTCTTCTACCACCTCTCCACATAAAATTGGGATTGATGAAGCAGTTCGTAAAATCACTTCCAAGAGATGGAGAATGCTTCAAATACTTGGTCACCAAGTTTCCAGGCCTGTCGGAGGCAAAATTGAAGGAAGGTGTGTTCGTCGGACCAGACATTAGAAGGCTTATAGTTGATCAAGAGTTTGTCAATACCATGACAGATCCTCAAGAAGAAGGGTGGATTGCATTTCAAGAAGTCGTACAGAAATTTTTAGGCAATAACAAAGATCCTCACTACAAAAAGATCGTCAGACGAATGCTGAAAGCATTTTAAGCTTTAGGTTGCCTGATGAGTTTGAAAGTGCTTTTCCTCCAGTCCCACCTTGACTACTTTCCTGAAAATTTGGGAGCTGTGAGTGAGGAACATGGAGAATGATTCCACCAAGACATTAAAGAGATGGAAAGGAGATACCAGGGAAAATGGAGCATTACAATGATGGCAGACTACTGTTGGAGGCTTCAGAGAGACATTCCAGATGCTACTCACAAGAGTAAATGCACCAAGAGGAGCCTCACAGGGAAGAAGAATCGAGTTTAGTGTGTGTAGGTGAGCTCATTTCAGTTCAAAAAAGGATTTTCATGAAAAAATTGTAATAAAACTTTAATTTTATAAGTCTATTTCCATTTATTTTGAGGTATTGCCTTATTTAACATAGTTACCTAAATTGTCAGGAAATGTGATGTCCTATGACAAAATGGAGGTCATTTTCGGATTCAGCGCACCAAAAAAAGATAAAGATTACGTGGAATAACCAAAACAGCTCTTGAAAAAAAATTTATTGCAGACCTGCTCTTGAAATTCTTGAAAAACTTTGGTTCCAAAAGGTTTAAATATTTGAACTTAATTTCAAGGTATTCTTGGATTGAAATTGAGTAATTCTGAATATTTACCATATTAAAATATATTTTTTCCATGAGGGTAGATTTTTTACTCTTACTGATATACTGTCACTTTTAATCTTTTTGAATGAGTCATGATGACTTTTGGTCACTAGGGGGAGCTGTACACTATTCCCAATTAAGGTACAGGGTATTTAAGCAGCCTTCACTGTCTCCTCCCTATTCTGAAGAAGTCTGAATCTGTTATGGTTATCCATCAGCCTTGACTCAGACAAGATGTGTACTGAAGAACTGTTTGTGAGCAAATTTATGAAGGCAATCTTCAGTGTGTTGGGATCTTCCACTGGTTTTGTGGGCATCAAGGGAATGTACATTTGCACTCTTGTTCTATATGGGCTTTGACATTGAAAGTGTTATTCTTGACAGCCATCTTGTTTTCCAAGTGCTGTGTGCAGGGGCAGACTGACCATTTGGAAACTCTGGCACTGCCCGAGGGCCCGGGGTCAGTAGGGGGCCCCGTGAGATGCCCCTGGTACCTTTTTCATAGGCTTTTTTGAGTTTTGGGCAAGGACACAGGAGCCCCACGATCCCCTATTGCCCGGGGGTCCCATGAGTTGTCAGTCCGCCCCTGGCTGTGTGTTTTTACTTGTAAAGAGCTTTTTTGTTTTCTGCTACCACATACACATACAGTAGTTTGACCATCTCAAGAATTTTGCTCTAAGGTATTCACAGAGTTTCATTCCAACTGGGGGCTATCTTACCATCTATTCCTCTGGCTAGTGGATGCTCATGTCCCCTTGACATGCTGAACATTAATTTCAGTTTATCTTATCTCTAGCTTTAGGTGAAGTTTATTTATTACCTTCCCTAGTAGATGTGCCTCAACTACATACAGTATACAGCACTGTGTTCCATCAGTGAGACCAGAACTTCCCATCCTGCTTCAGGGACAAAATATAGTCAGGATGAGTGTTTTCACAGGGAAGTTTGTATTCCATGAATGAATACAAAACCTCCGCTGATTGGCTGAGTCTATATTGTCTAAGCTAATCAGAAGAAACAACTTGATTTTGTTTTGGTAACAGTAGGGCGTTCTCGTCCCACTGCAGGAAGAGAGTACTGTATGAGTATACTGTATGTAGCTGAGATTACATACAGTTTATGTAGTGTGCACAGTGGGCACATCTAGTAGTGAAGCTAATAGTTGGTTTGAACCAATTTGGTTCAAACAAACTATTTAAATTACCGTAAAAGCTAGAGATCAGCTTTAGGAGGAGTGGAAAATCTGTTTTTTTGACATGTTGATTCAAAGGAAAGATGACAAGTATCACCTAGGATTGTGTCAGTATGGAATTGAAAGGAACAAAAGTATCTTTGTGACATTGTGTTTTAAATCATTTTAGACATTACTGCCAATGTCAGCCATCAATTATATTGCACATAATACACTCACCTAATTGGGGTGATTAAGGCCCCTTACCTCAATTAGGTGAGTGCTTTATGTGAAATATAATTAACAGCCAACATTGACAGTAATATCTAAAAAGATTTGAAACCATGTCACAGAGATACATCCGTTCCTTATTGAAGGATTATACAGATTGAGTTTGAGGATATGCAGTGTGATAACAAAAATATCCCTTATTTCTGAAACATCTAAGGTAAGTTCAATTCCCTGTGGCTTCTACAGACCATAAAGGATGATTTACATTTTGAACAAGTGGATTATCATATATTATATTTTTTTGACATTTTATAGATTGTGACAGGAAAAGAACACTTCTTGCACTCCCTCAAATCCCACAGGGGGTTGTATTATACAAAAAGATTTCTGTATCTATACCATATAAAAATATCTAAAATATCTATATTTAATTCATATTGATAAATGTTATATCACAGTTGCTGCCCTTTTGTACACAATTGCTTGTGGCTTCTCTCTTTTCTAGTATACAGTATGAAGCCACAGGCAATTGTGTACCTGTGATATAAATATAAAGCTCCCATTCATAAAGTGGGGAAGGATTAGAAACTAAACGCAAATACAGAGAGCTGCTGCAAACACCCTAATGTGTTCCCACACCAACCAGAAAAAAAGAAAGTATAGTATTGCGCTGCTAATATATCAAAAAAACAATACTCAGTAGATGAAGTGAAATTAAATTAATCAACAGTGAATCAGTAAATAAACACATTGGGACCCTAGCACACAAATCCATGCATGAAAATGTGATGAATGTAATCAAACTTACCCAAAAAGACTTGAATATTGGAGAACAAAAAAGGATGTGTAAACACCTACCAGTAGTTCAAACACACATATAATCAGAATAGCAATAATCAAACTTGTGTAGAACAGTGGCGGACTGACAACTCATGGGGCCCCCGGGCAATAGGGGATCATGGGGCCCCTGTGTCCTTGCCCAAACTCAAAAAAGCCTATGAAAAAGGTACCAGGGGCATCTCATGGGGCCCCCTACTGACCCCGGGCCCTCAGGCAGTGCCCACGTTTCCAAATGGTCAGTCCACCCCTAGTGTAGAGTATGTATGGATGAGAATGTGAAACAAAAAAATCACCATGTCACCAAGCTTCCTTCCTACGCATTACGTCCCACACTACATGAGTTCCTCAGAGATAGCGAAGTGGACCTGTATCGCATCCCTATGGTGACATGCTGATTCCAGTGGAGTAATGGTGGATGCTGTCAGAGCTCATTTTGACCTGTATACTATATAGGTCAATGTGAGAAGGTTAGCATGCATGCCTGGTGGTGGTTGACATGGGTGAAGATTCATTGGCATTTTTTAATTTCTTGGTGAAGAGGGATTGTGTTGGAAGTTCGCATATACAGTGGGGCAAAAAAGTATTTAGTCAGCCACCAATTGTGCAAGTTCTACCACTTAAAAAGATGAGAGAGGCCTGTAATTGGCATCATAGGTAGACCTCAACTATGAGAGACAAAATGAGAAAACAAATCCAGACAATCACATTGGCTGATTTGGAAAGAATTTATTTGCAAATTATGGTGGAAAATAAGTATTTGGTCAATATCAAAAGTTCATCTCAATACTTTGTTATATATCCTTTGTTGGCAATGACAGAGGTCAAACGTTTCCTGTAAGTCTTCACAAGGTTGGCACACACTGTTGCTGGTATGTTGGCCCATTCCTCCATGCAGATCTCCTCTAGAGCAGTGATGTTTTGGGGCTGTCGCTGGTCAACACGGACTTTCAACTCCCTCCAAAGGTTTTCTATGGGGTTGAGATCTAGAGACTGGCTAGGCCACTCCAGGACCTTGAAATGCTTCTTACGAAGCCACTCCTTCGTTGCCCGGGCGGTGTGTTTGGGATCATTGTCATGTTGGAAGACCCAGCTACGTTTCATCTTCAATGCCCTTGCTGATGGAAGGAGGTTTGCACTCAAAATCTCACGAGACATGGCCCCATTCATTCTGTCCTGTACATGGATCAGTCGTCCTGGTCCCTTTGTGGAGAAACAGCCCCAAAGCATGATGTTGCCACCCCCATGCTTCACAGTAGGTATAGTGTTCTTTGGATGCAACTCAGCATTCTCTCTCCTCCAAACATGACGAGTTGTGTTTCTACCAAACAGTTCTATTCTGGATCATCCAAATGCTCTCTAGCAAACTTCAGACGGGCCCGGACATGTACTGGCTTAAGCAGGGGGACACGTCTGGCACTGCAGGATCTGAGTCCCTGGTGGCGTAGTGTGTTACTGATGGTAGCCTTTGTTACGTTGATCCCAGCTCTCTGCAGGTTATTCACTAGGTCTCCCCGTGTGGTCCTAGGATTTTTGCTCACCGTTCTTGTGATCATTTTGACCCCACGGGGTGAGATCTTGCGTGGAGCCCCAGATCGAGGGAGATTATTAGTGGTCTTGTATGTCTTCCATTTTCTAATTATTGCTCCCACAGTTGATTTGTTCACACCAAGCTGCTTGCCTATTGCAGATTCAGTCTTCCCAGCCTAGTGCAGGTCTACAATTTTGTTTCTGGTGTCCTTCGACAGCTCTTTGGTCTTCACCATAGTGGAGTTTGGAGTGTGACTGTTTGAGGTTGTGGACAGGTGTCTTTTATACTGATAACAAGTTCAAACAGGTGCCATTGATACAGGTAATGAGTGCAGGACAGAGGAGCCTCTTAAAGAAGAAGGTACAGGTCTGTGAGAGCCAGAAATCTTGCTTGTTTTTAGGTGACCAAATACTTATTTTCCACCATAATTTGCAAATAAATTCTTTCCAAATCAGCCAATGTGATTGTCTGGATTTGTTTTCTCATTTTGTCTCTCATAGTTGAGGTCTACCTATGATTCCAATTACAGGCCTCTCTCATCTTTTCAAGTGGAAGAACTTGCACAATTGGTGGCTGACTAAATACTTATTTGCCCCACTGTATGGACTTTACACACTATATATGTTAATTATATCTTTTTTGCATGAAGTGGGACTGTTTTTTAACTTTTTTTAAATTTAAATTCCACTATTTTTAAATACCGCCATTTTTTTACCCTGCAACTTCCTAAAAATTTTGCGTTAGATGGTCGACTGGGTATCTATTTTTGTTGGATTATATATATTAATTATATTTCATTATAAATTGGGACTGTAATTAAAACTTTAACCACTATTGGTATTCAAGCCCTGCGGCTTCCTGTACATTTGTGTTGGGTAGTCAACCGGGTATTTATTCTTATTGGATTGTTTATTATTTGATGTTTCACTAATATTGAGATGTTTTCTGTTTTGTTTCACATTCTCATCCATACATACTTTACATTTGTTTTGCTTATTAATATACTCATTTTATGTGTGTTTGAACTACTGGTGGGCGTTTACACATCCCTTTTGTTCTCCAATATTGAAGTCTTTTTGGGTAAGTTTTTTTCTTATTATATTCATTATCAGATTTTCACGCATATATTGGATTTGTGTGCTGATTAATATCATTTCACTTGATCTATTGAGTGTTGGGTTTTTTTTGCGATATTAGCAGCACAACACTATAATTTCTTATAGAAACCGTTCTTACATTGTTAATGCATTCTTGTGCTCTGTTAGAATAATTTACTCTCACTTCCTGTCCTGCTGACAACATTTAAACAGACGAGAAGTAAAGGTAACTCCCCAAAGCTACACACATAAATACCAATGCTTTTCTTTAACAGAGTAGGGGAAGGCTTCGAAAAGCTGCAGATGTATATTTCTTGTTATACATCAAACCACAGTGCACAAACCTAAATGGTAACACCATGCAGGCAAAAACATAAAAAGCCAGCACTCCAACAGAGCTTCCATGATGCCTGTTTACTGAAGTACCATATCAGTAAATATACCTGTATGCAACCACTGATATGGGATTTTAGTAAACAGTCATTTGAAAGTTCAGGTGGAGTGCTGACTTTCTTCTAGATTATTACTTCTATGTCCCTGTTGCAGATTTTCCCTAACAACAGGACAGCAATTGAGGGTGAATGTGGCCAACACATTTTTGGACATTTGTAAAACCCTGACAGGAGTTCAGATCCTTCCCAAATACATCCAAAAAAAGTTTGACATATACTTTAAAATCAAAAGTTTCTAATTTAAATAGCCAAAAAGCTTCTCCCATGTAACTAGAAAAAATAACATTTCATCATTTGTTGGATCAAACACTTTTCCGAGCCTGAAGAAGAAATTATGTTGTGGTCACATGAATGGCCCTCCACCAGAGGCGGACTGACCATTTGGAATCTCGGGCACTGCCCGAGGGCCCGGGGTCAGTAGGGGGCCCCATGAGATGCCCCTGGTACCTTTTTCATATGCTTTTTTGAGTTTGGGCAAGGACACAGGGGCCCCATGATCCCCTATTGCCCGGGGGCCCCATGAGTTGTCAGTCCACCCCTGCCCTCCACTAAATATCCAGCAGCATTAAAGTGTTACTAAGACCCTGAACTCACTATATCTGGTCTTCCACCATACACAGAACATGGAACTGTAATTATTTTAGTAAAGAAAAACTGCTAAATACCTTCAGTAGTTAGAGCAGTCTTGTGACTTCTATTGGTATGCAGCCAAGCACTGGTTAAAGCTTGTAGGAGCAGTTTTCATTTTGCTGTAGGAGGATTCAGAATCCCTGACCCTCTGTCTGGACAGTTCTGATTGGCCCTGTGTTGATCACATGCACTCCCTCAAGAAAAAAAAAAAAACCTCTCTAGCAATACACGCCAAACTGAGCACGTGCAGAGTGACTCCCCACGATATGTCTTATCAGAAGATAAGAGGGGGACACTGAAAGAAGGGGGAATCAGAGAAGTCAGGATCAAACAGCCTTTTTACACAATGCAGAGGATTAATCCCTTAGGTTCCACAGTTAGTATAACAAGAATGCTTTACTGCATCTACAGACTGATTTTACTGTTGTGAGTTTAGTAACACTTTAACCCCTACAATATGGAGAGTAAAACAAATCACACAGTTTCTTTATTTTTCATTGTACACACACATCTTTGTTTACTTTTTTCTTCTTTTATTACAAGGAGAAAAAGATACAATATCACAGCGATCAAGTGATTGTAAAAGGATTTTGCCTGAAGTCAGCTGATCGACTGCGTCCAATCACACACAGAGTTCTGTGTTCACAAAGCACAGAACTCTATGTTCAGGGAACAGTGATCTGATTGTTTTTCCTCCCAGAAAAGCAGGAAGAAAAACTAACTGTATAGTAAAGAAAAAGAAGAACAGCACATATTATACACATTATACATTGTTAGGCACACAATCAACCCCTTGATTGTCCCTTGATACTAACCCACTTTCCAGCTAGTGTCATTAATACAATGACAGTGTATAGTTTTATATCTGATCACCGCGTTAGTGTAACTTGTAATGTCCATGTCCGTTAGTCAGCTAGAGTACCTCCCAGCCAGCATCAGGTAGCACCAGATTAGCCACCACACTATCACAGTCCCATTATAAGTCGCTGATCATCGCCATTATAGCATCATAGCTGCATAAATTCTGGTAAATATAGCATAGTTTGTAGACACTATAAATTTCACACAAACTAAATAATATGTACTTGTTGGGATTTTCTTTAACCAAAGACATGTAGCAGAATAAATTTTGGCCTAAATTTATATTAAGTGTTGTCAGGTTCAGGCATGGGTTGAGGCAAGCAAGAGAGTAGTCAGGTCAGTTTGGGATGGCAACAAGCAGAAAATTGGCAGGTAAATAATTTTATCACTTTTAGCTCTCTGGTTATTGACTACTAAACAGCACCAGCCAATTCAAAAGCTGGTGCTTAAATACCCCTTTTTATTGAAAATATGACCAGCATAGTTCCTGGGAATTTTGAAAAAAAACCATGATGTAGTGGAGGTCCTTGGAATCCTGGAAAGCTTTTTGCTTAGTCACAGCTTGGGCTAATATAAGTATGCATGATCAGGGGCGGACTGACCATTTGGAAACTTGGGCACTGCCTGAGGGCCCGGGGTCAGTAGGGGGCCCCATGAGATGCCCCTCATACCTTTTTCATAGGCTTTTTTGAGTTTGAGCAAGGACACAGGGGCCCCATGATCCCCTATTGCCCGGGGCCCCATGTGTTGTCAGTCCGCCCCTGTGCATGATCCTTATGGAAGCTGGAAATTGCTGCTATTGTCTGGGTCCTGTGCCTCGGGGCTGAATGATAAAGGTCCAACTCAGGAGTAACTGGGCAGGTCTTAAATATTGGCTTGAATTCAGATAACAGATTGGGCTGTACCAATAGAAAACTCTTGTCTGAGAGTAATGTTGAAACAGGAACAAAAACTTTAGGGAACATATGTGACATGGAGTCAGGCTTTACATTCTTGGACCTGGGTTGACAGGTCAAATTTAATGAACAGAGCCCTTCTAGCCTGGAATGGTCTAAGGAACTAAGCAGTACTACAGTTTTTATTATCAGTCATAATAAGATTGGGATGGGCTGCCCCTTCCAGTAGGTAGCCATGCATCCAAGACCGCTTTGATCGCCAGCAACTCCCTGTTACTGTTGATGACGTTCCTCTCTCAAGACTAATCTTTGTATAGCAAAAGGTGATAAGCTGATTGCATGGATGTGTCTTACTGTCTTACAGTTATGGTGCCCCTGGCAGGTGACATAGGCTCACCCAAGGTGCAGGTTTACGAGGCAGTGAATTTTCACCAAAGATCCTGATGGTGGAGATGGCTGGGATCACTAGAGGTGGCAGTACAAAGACTGTTTACAGGGCTGTAGACAGATAGTGTTCTGGTCAGTTAGAGGTCTTGGCTGGTGCCAAGCAAGAAAGTATTCATGTACAGACTGGAGTTGAGGCAGGCAACAGGCAATAAAGTAGGTAGTTAATGCACATAGTAGGACATGCATACCCATAACCACATAACAAACCAGAAGCAACACAGATAAAGTACAAAGAGGAATGGAATGGGTGCTATAACTATAATGTTGTGGTTTCCTCATAAAGCCCAAGATTTGTAAAAGTATAAGTCAACAAATCAAAATGGTATAGTTCAATTGATGTATATTATGTAAAGGTAACAGAACAAATCTGTGCTATAGTGTTAATTAGGCTGCTTAAAAAAATGCTGATATACAGATCCCAGTCTAATGATGGTTAAATTTCTGCTGCGTGAAACTGCTACATCAATCAACTAATGAAATAAAGAGTCCCCAAAATTTACAATATTGGCGTAAATCAGAAGTGATAAAATGAACTAAAAGTGCATTTAAAGTAGTCAAATCAAGTGATATAAAAAGTCACTGTAATAAAAATCAGACGGCGCTCAAATAATCAATCCTCTATCATTAGATCTTGATTGGACAGAAATCCACTAGTGCATGGGCACACACTAACGCCATTCATATTAGACACTCTCCAGATTCACTGCTACAGCAAGTGTAATCCATATAGCATGATCATATAGGTTACCTGTGGCCTCTGTTAGCCTCACACTCTAAAAAAATTATGTTTTGGCTCAACAAACAAAATGAACGCAACAGTTTGCATCAAGCTTTTTAAGTTATGACAATGTCTGGTGAAATTAAGTTGAAGCAACAAACTACATTGCATTGAGGTAATTAGCTTTTCTGATAGAAATGAATGCATTTTTATTTACCGCCAACTTAATTACTGGCATTATAAACACATGTTTTTAAGTTGAGTACTTAAACATAATAAGTTAATTCAAATAGTTTTTCCAGTTTTTATAAGAAACCTTCAAGTCACGTGGACTTAATTGCTACAATTATGAGCAAGTTTTTTAAAAGTTAAAAAGCAGTTAAAAATCAAGTTGATCCAAATTGATTTTCTGTATTAGTTTTTAGCTTTGTTATTTTTTATACTAGCTTTCAAAAATGAATTAATCAGTTTAGGCTTACACTAGAATGTGTTGCAGAAACCCCGCAATCTGTGTGCATTTCGCGCACCGCATTCAAATCGCACTACCCTTGCAGTCTGCAGTGGATGTCAGTGTTGCAAACACAGTGCATTTGCCGGCACCAGATTGCATGGTACAAAACAAAACATGCAATCTGGTTGCACTGTGGTTCAAAAATTGGTGCATGCATGTCTTTGGTGCGATGTGGTGTGATTTGAGCTCATTCAAAATGAATGGGCTCAAATTGCATTACACTGAACCACATGTGAATTGCACAGGAATGTGTTGCAGTTCCTTTGTGATTCACATGCACTTCATTGTGTGAACCAAGGCCCAACAATCCAATTGTGTTAAACAATTGACATTTTTTGCACATCAAAATCAAATCCTTAAAGTTGTACTGATGAATGAGTAAGCACTTTGCATTAAGATTTTTTTAATATTGTCTGTCTGGTGCAGAAACTGTTTTCTCTACAAGACCTTTGCTATATTGTACAACAAATTGTGGCAATATAGTGAAGGATATTGGAGGATATTGAAAGTTGATATTTTGTGAGCTTTCTTACAATTTGCTATATTCTTTCCGCATTACCCTGCGACAACCATTTTGCGAACTGAAATAAAAGTGAAAAATGTCATCTGAGTATGACTGTGCTATGGAACACATACGTTCTTCAGAGAATACTGTACTTGAGACCCATTACTTTAGCACTGGCTTTCAGTCCATCAAGTTCAAGGAACAGTTTTTGAAACAACTGAGACTTGATTTGTGTTAAGTGAATGGGGGTGGAGACTTGCAATGCAGCTCTCAATGTAGAGCAGAATTAAGTTACCAAGTCAAATTTATTAAGGTACCTTAACTTAAATTTCATTGTACAACAATGAATGCAGAAATGTAACTGTACATGACACACAATATTAAGTTGATGTAATTTCCAACATTATCATTTCAACACAACTCATGAAAGTAGGTTTTTAAATGAAAAAGTTTATTTAAACCAATAAATTAGGATTTTTATCTTGGAAATACACATTTAATTAAGTGGTGGTAACAGGTCGCTTGAGTTATTTTTTTAGAGTGCAGTATGACATCTGTACCCAGGTGATCTCTGCGCCCACACAACAGTGTCACATCAAGCTGTCATAAATAAAAGCCCACGCAAGAAGCAGTGTCAAAAAAACCTCATGGTGTAGCAAGATTTATTTAATAAAATGTCATCCAGTACAAAAAAAATCACAATTATACAGCTGTGCACTTATCCAGCTGCTGCAGAGAGGAGTATGCAGCGGCATGATGTCAGCATGTAAGCTCTGCCCCAATGTGATTTTTTGAGTTTGGGAAAGGATACAGGTGCCCCATAATCCCCTATTGCCCGGGGGCCCCATGAGTTGTCAGTCCACCCCTGGACCCAACAGATATCCTGTGAATACTGTAACAGCTATGACTCAGCTATGTTTCTCTTCCACGGAATTCACAGTAGAGTTTCCCATGC